ACCTAAACAATCTAGATATTCTAAAGCAATAAGGAAACTAAATAACTAGGAGATCTTGTCCCTTGACTTGCACTCCAAGTAGGGGAGAATAATCAGCTCAAAAGACTCCTAGGAAACTTCTTTTTTTGCTGGCCAAGTCATTCACGCGCGCTGCCCGCCAGCTGGCCTGTCCCCGCGCGCGCGTGCTGAGATGACGGATCGATCGTTTGTCTATACTTGGGTTGCGAATAAACGCCGCACTGAGGCCTTCGTTTATCCCCGATAGGTGTATCTAACAGATGCACTACGGCCTTCTCCTAGATACCGTGACTTCAAGACGCTCTAACGGCCTTCTCTCAGACACTGTATGTAAACACGCACTAATGGTCTTGTTTATCACACGTAAAGAACATCAGTTCTCCCTCAAGATTGGCTCACCAATTCAATACTCAATTCAACTTGTAAAATATGATGAGGTACATGGGGTATTTATAGTTGTAAAATAAATCTAAACCTAATCAAACTAGATCTCCTAATCTAGGCAATAATAGAAATCCTAACTCTAGAAAGCAATAAAATCCTAAACCTACCAAATAACTAATGCTTGGCTTGCACACCAAGCAAATCTAGAATGTCCCTAAGTCTCCAAATTTCGGCCGCCTCTCTTGTCCGCGTCACCCGCGTTGTCCGCGCACGCGCGCGCCATTGCGCGCGCCTCTCCTGCACCGCCTCCCTCATGCGCGTGCATGCCCCCCTCGCCTATGCCTACCGCGCATAGGCGTGCGCCCGTGTCCTCGCTGCAATCGCGCGCTATCGCGCGTGCCTCGTTACCGCTGACCTTCTCACGCGCGTCCGCGCACGCCTGTCCTATGCTCCCGCAGACTAGGACGTCCGCGCTTTCGCCCCACTCGCGCGCCCTTGCGCGAGCCCCGCTTCCACCGTCTATGCCCCACGCGTCACTGCCAACTCCCGTGGCCCGGTCACCCCTCGCGGGCGCATCATCGCCCGATGCGCATTCTTCGTATACCAGCCGTGCGCTCGTTCTTATGCCGTCGATTGCCAACGCATCCCAGTCGACCTCCGTACCCCGATCCTCCACTCGTGTACGGTCACTTGGCCCTTCGCGCGCATCATGGCATGATGCGCGCCATTCGCTCGTGCCCGCTTTCTCGTCGTCAATCGCCGTGGCATCCCAACCAACCCCCATGACCTGTCTCGCGTCCCCGTGTATGGCCTGTTCGGTCCAACCGCGCGCATCATGGGCCGATGCGCGCCACTCGTCCATTAGCCGGTCATTATCGTCCTTCCCGTTGCCGCTTGTCTTTGTTGGCTCGGGCCATGGGTCCCAACCCTTCATCCTCACACAATTATCCGCCGGTATCCACCATCCATCTTTCACCCATCGCAGTCCACGCCTATGCGCGTATTCTCGCCCTTTTCTAATGCGCCCTTTCTTGCGTGTCATTGCGCCTCGCATACGGGCTCGTACCAGCCTCTTAGGCCATGCTTGCATCGTTTTGGCCCTATTTACACCCTCCTCGAGTCCTCTTGGCTCTCGGCCCTTATTGTGGCAGGGGTCCGGAACCCACTTCCGTATCATTCCCCTCCTCTTCGAGACTTTCTTTGTCCTCAAGGATTCATCCTCGATCATCCAAACATCGGGCACTTCTTCTTCGATCACGTGCACATCCCACTCACGGTCCTCGTCGACCACGACCAAGATTTCGCTCTCGACTCTTTTAGCCTCGCCGACGATGTCATCCGCGCGCTCGGTCGCGCCACCAATTACCTCGACGACCTTGAGTTCCTC